AGCAAATCCTCACATTTGAGAAGTTGGAACCTGGGTTAGTTTTATCATTTTAAAATACAAAATGCATAGTAATTAATCTCAATTATTGCTGATTAATCCTCTGTTGATTTACTAATCGATTAACTGAATAATGGTTTGGGCACTTAAGGAATGATTGCCAAAATGTCCGATACAATAAGGATAAATATGAGGACAGATTACAACCACAGAGCATATAATGTGTGTGTGAGTTAGTTACCGTAGGGGGTGGTGGGGTTAAGCAGGAGGTTAATATTGTGAACACAGAGTGTGTGTGGAAACAACACTGGGATGCTGCAGATAAAAGAAAAAAAAAAATCTAAATTTCATGCATCTCTTGCCCTACTAACGTCACCATCTCACACAATACACACACACACGCAGACACACACCTCCCGTTCAGCCTGACAGTCGCTGTTTTCGCGTGTACGAGCGAGTGTGGGTCACATCAGGACAATGCGCCGGCTCGCAGACTCTGTTTGCAGCAATAGCGAGTTTTTTTCCTCCCCTTTCTTTCAGCCTCATGGACACTATTTCAGGGCCAGAATGAAAAAAAAAAAGCAAAAAGGGAGGGTGAAAAAGAGCCCTTTTCAAATTGATGACAGCAGTGGGCGCTGAGGGAGACCATTGAAAGGAGTATATAAAGCAGCATCATAGCGTCTGCCTGTCCCCCCCATCCCCCGTCCACCTCTCTCCCGACATCAAAAGTGTGCGCCCATCCTGAGCCGACAGAGCTCCAGATCGCTGCGGTGCATGCTGGGTAAGAGAGGACAACTCAGGACACATGCAGGGACTTTAAGGATACTGCAGTAAGCTGTTCACAATGAAAAAAAAGAGGGAAAAGATGCAGAGAGACGGAGGGAGGGAGGGACGGGAGGCGAGGAGGGGAGGGGAAGGAGACAAAATCCTGGCAGGATCAGTGAAGGATGGAGGAATCCAGCTAAATATGAAAATGTTTAACGCAGCGGTGCTGTTTTCACTGTTTATATCATTAGATGTGCATCGGCACGCTGATGGGAAAACAGAAACGCACGGCAGAGTCTGAAGATTTAAGATGTATTAGGTTATTTGTTTCTCTCTTATCTGTATTGTTTTACATTTTTTATAAAGGCGCAAGTGGTCTCTCTCCTTCGGAGAGGAAGCTTTCTCTGTCTGTCAGTTTGTTTTTTGTTTGCTGTATTTGACCAGAGATGATCCACTAAAGCTGAAATATGCACGATGAACTCATCATATATGTTCCAGCCCGTGCCATGCTGAGACTTTTTAAATGCTGCATGTATTCGAACTGAAGACATTTACAGAGATTAAATTAACTGCAAAAATATAATTGTGAAAGAACAATTAACAATC